ACCTATTCCTGCTTCCTGATAGGCGGAATAAGTTTGGTGTAGGTAGCTGGGAAGCCTAATTGTCGGATGCGTACATAGACGCACCACCGTCGGCCTTGACTCCCGCCACCTCCGTTATACTCGCGGCGCTCCGGCAGTATTCCTCCTCACTGGTCGAGAGCTCTTCTTCGATCGGTTGGCTTCGCTGCGGTTGCGGGCGCAACTTCTCTCTCGGGAGCTTAGCTTCCTCGGCGATTGGTTGGTCCACTACAGCAGGTGGACGGGTCCTCCTGCGAGGCTTGGGGGGCGATATGCCCTCCATCCTTCGCGGCTCCGTCGCGGCCCGTTGTTGCGGGCGAGATCAGTCCCCAGGCGAGCAGTGATCCTTACTCCCTTCGGCGCGGGCCACTTAGCCGGGTGAGACCCCTAGGGGAGGCCCAGCGAAGCGCCCAGCGAGCAGGGAGGGGTATCAAGGCTGCAGTGTATGGAGGTGATCGTCGCGCTTCCCAGTGCGCGCACTGCCTGCCCTTTTCTAAAGAAAGGGGAGATGCAGTGCGGGTCGCACACGTAGTCTCGCAGTCGCGGGGGTGCGTGGTCTCGGCGAGGCGTGTACGGCGCCCACGTTCCGGACAAGGTGGCCTAGGCTGCTCGACGCTTCACGGAGTTAGTACCTCGACGTTAGGCGGAGTGGCTTCGGCGGATTTCGGCTGAATGGCTTCTATCACACACGATGTCGCGGAACGGGCGCTTGACATTTTGACAGTGCTCTGTAATAGCTCTCTTTTTGTAGTTTTACAATTATAGCCCTTTATGTCTCAAACTCACTGGTAATCATGGACTGATCTGCGGTGAAGAATGCTAATGATTGCTCTAAATTAAACCGCTTTGATTTTATATCCTTCACCTCTGTGTTGATGTCGAGCTCTTTTCTCATTATTTTTCGTATAATCTTGGCGGATAAGCAAGTCTGGTGGCTATTGATGTTGAACGAATTGGTCTACTTTAATTCTCGCCACGTCAGGGCTCCTTACAGTAACGGCAAGATGGACACACCCAGGTTTCCTTGAAGGCTTTAGTCAAACTATTGTATTCCTCTTTTTTGTAATTAATACGAGTGTAGTGGTATTTGTCTGAGCATCTGTAGCAATTTAAGAACGATATTCCTTTTATAGTATTAGGGCAACCAGTGCATCTTTGAGTTTTCATCATTGAAGGCAATCGTTGTTTTATTTATGATACCGAATAACTTTACTTATTTTTGTGTTCAATTAATTTTATAAAATTAACTGAATAATGAACAAAAACTGTATTGTGCATCGAACGGGATTCGAACTCGCTTACTGCAGTTTGGGTGCTCTCGTCTCTGTCAACAGCTGCTCTATTCGTCGTGTTACCAAAATTTTGCTTTTATTAAAGTCGAGTTTGCATGTTGTTGAATGTAAAGACGATGCTTATTATTAGAAGACTACCGACTGTATCAAATCACAATGCTCTCAATGTAATTATACCTTTCTTTAGCTTGTGATTCCTTGTAGATTATTTAAATTGAAAATTATATTTACTTCACTGCTTCATTCACAAACTGTTTGCTACTAATTCACTTAATTCGTGAGCGACTCACAGCACTATCATCACTGAACATTTTTACCGTTTTTGTTAGGTAATTATCCATATTTCCTGTAGTCTACACTCTCCCTGCTTTTTCACCTAAGTTTCACTAACACTGTATTTTTTTAATTAATTTAATGAGTTGTTAAATTTAAATTTAATTTAATTTTCGGTGACGATAAGTGCATTCAAGTGGCGCCCTCAATTTTTCATTTATTGTAGTGGCCTGGTCATTGCTTGGATTGACCATAGAGTGTTCACACAGTTTTTTGGTGTTAGTGGTTGAAAGTTTTCCAAATACTGAACGTAAGTTCGTTTTCGGAGGAAACGACTCTACCAAGTATAACCGGAAGAATCACTTGGCCAATTTCCTCAGAAAGGATGCCTTCACCAAATTTAACTAAATATCGTAAAATTCTTATCAACCGGAACTTCTGTTTTTGAGGATAAGAACGCGTCAATGAGGCATTTCTTTTGTTTGCTTAAGTCGCCTGAATAAGACAACGAACCAGTGCTCCGTTTTGTGAGGATACACTGTTTCCGGGCGTAAGGACCAACTGCGACATAAAAGATCGGTATGCAATCTAATATTTTTAACGCAAATTCAATTGATTAGAAAATACAAAAAAAGGGAGCATCTTATTTAAAAATTAACAAAAACTATTTTGGGAGTCAATTAAAAATAATCTACTCAATTTCCTAACCACAAAGCAAAATAGGTATACCCAAAAATCCTAGCCAAATAATTTTTTGTTTATATTTATTTCTAACCTGTGGCAGATTTGATCCGTTTGTCGCCTAAGTACATTAAATATGCGTACTCGCTGTAACGCACAGTAAATTAAACGAAGCAAATTAAAATAAAAATCAAATAAAGTCAGTAGGTAAATGATATTTGATCCAGAAGCCGAAGAATGTTATCTACTCATCAGGCTTCCTAGATTTATTATAATTTTTTTGGGATATCGCCTATGCGAAGGAGCAAAAGGCGAAAGTGAGTACTAAAAAACCTTAGCCTCGGGACCTAATCGGCATCTAGAGAAATCCACAACTGTCCCTAACAACAAACCAAATCACAAAGCTAAAACAAGAACATCCGTGTACCAAGCGAAATGAAATCGTATCTATCGAAGAAAATCCGTTTTTTTCATTTGGCTGGCTCAACCACTGTTGACCTTAGGGGCCTTAACAGATCAACCACACCATTACAGGGTTGCGGTGGCCGGGCGCTGAGAGCGCGTAGCCACCTTAATTTCAATTTAATTTTAATTTTTTCGTTATCACGAGGCCGAATATATAAAACAATTTCTTATAATTATCTCATAATAATAGTTTAATAAAAAAAAGTCAAAATAAATAACATAAGTACAAACTTAAGTTATTAAGTGCTCAGTCCTAAAATATTAAATAATTCCTTATTTATAGACTACACTACAAAAACCATAGCAAACCCTATCTACTGTGTACCATTCTCACATCAGGGACACCGCGAAGGCCGCGGAAGAGGCCAGCTGACACGATTATTGATTTCCCGACCATTACCTACGGCAAATATTTGTAATTGTGTGCTAGCAAATATGAACCTAATCGGGTTTACAGTTCGAGAGTAGGGTGTGTCAAATCAACAAAGAACATGGAATTAATACGTACGCATACAAATCCTCTTCGATGTTTGAAGAACTGCTCGCTTCAACGATCACTGAGCAACTCATCATTGTATCTTTTGAAGGATTTTACATCACAAGTCCATCATAATATACCTCGTCTTCAACACACGTCACCGTGATTAAATGAAGATTCCGGCCCCGAAAATTACATTGATTGTGATAAACATTTCGCACGGAACAGGAGATTTATGCCTCGCCAAAATGTGTATCGTTTTCGAATTGAAATCACTGACACGAATCACTCGCGTCGGCAGTGTGATGCAACTTTACGACGATGTACTCTTCTGTTTAATTTAAAAAATAATAATTTAGTCGTACCAGAAGTTTGCCTTTTTACTAATAATTAAAAAAATACCTTATACTTATCTTAAACCAATTAAATTAAATTTTAGTATTTGCGCATAAGTAAAATGTATATTTTGAAATATATGTTATTTTAAAATATGCATTCGCTGCTTTCTCTTTACTACAAAAATAATCAAAGTATAATAAAAATTTATATATAAAATATTGACGTAAAAATAAGACCGGGGAAATGGACGTCGTGCCAAAGTTATAGTACCTGGCACGGGGTAGAGGGCGCATGCGCCACTTTAACCTTGAGAGCACTTCCCGGTTCACGGGCAGAAGCCTAGTCACACGTCTTCTAGGTCAATGTGTTTGTAGGTAGCTGCGCCGGTTCCTGCTGTCTATGTCAAACATCGCCGGCAAAATAACATGAACGGTCTTCTGTCATTTCTGCCCTATCATATTCAACCATTTTAGGTGTAGAAATGTGTAGAATATAAAACATTGATTAATATGAGTTTAAATTCTTTATTTATCGTTAACGTCATTTATTTCAATTTCTTATTTAGAATTATGTTTAATTAAAATTTTGTGACAATTTTATTGGTTGGTTGGTTGGTCGGTTGGTCGGTTGGTCGGTTGGTCGGTTGGTCGGTTGGTCGGTTAGGTTAGGTTAGGTTCCCCCCGTCGTGCTGCCACCTTGTTGTGGTGGAGGGGCTTGCGTGTCCTAATGACCTCCAAGGCTATGCCGGATAGGGTTTCCCATACCGGACAGGCTCGGAGCGAGGGACCAGACGAAGAGCAGCATAAGGAGGGGCTCTCCGTGTGATTCTCTCATCAGCAGAGAACACATCGGATAGGGCCTAGGAGGACGGGTCGGCGCGCTGACTAATCTCAGTGCGTCTGACGCCACCGTCGGAGGAGATTTCGCCAACTCCTCGTTCCGCAACCAGCGACTCTCTTCAACGACCCTTCTGGTGGCTCCAGTTGGAGATGTTGTGTGGGTATTTGTGTGTGTTTGGGTGTGTATATGTGTGAGTGCTTCTGTGTCGCTGGTCGGAGGGCTTGCCTTAATTGGCCGGCCCGCGGGAAGGAAAACCCTATAAAGCCCGAGAGAACCCTCGTTAAAACCTGTGGATACCTGGGGACCTCCACAGTATGTACCCCACTCCACTTTTTAGTCGACCGGAATGGGCATAACCCGGGGAGTGCATCTATATCGTCCCAACTCGTGGGAATAAAAATGGAAAAGAAAAATCTAAAAGGAAATGACGTTCTTAAGGAGTTAGGCGTACAGCTTGAACGCTGTGATACCCAAACAAAGGAGGATGGCCCTTTGACATCAACCACAGTAGGGAGTTTAGAGGAGGCAGGCGGTATATCCGCGTCAGATTCTGGCTCTGAAACCTGAGCCTGGAATTGGAAAAAAGCGTAGCTAGCAACGCTAGCTTCGCCAGTATGGGTAGCGGAGAGGCCCAGAGAGTGCGCAAGAAGCGCACTCGCGCCTCGGATGCAGACGCCGAAGCAGATGATCATCCGGAATCTTCGGCGTTCAAAAGGAGAGGCACCCCTGTGCCTAAAAGGGGTAGAGGCCGCCCGCCCAATAGTGGGCAGTATTTGGGGCTGGCTAAAGGGAAGCGGGAGCTCATGGAAGCCAGAAGGGCAGAGATGGAGCTCCAGGCGGAGAAGTAGGTTCCAGAGCTGATCCAAAGGCGCCGGCTCGATAGAGCATTGCGCCCCGCTGGCTTTGACGACGTAGTCGACTCTCGCCTTTCTTCGACCCTGCTCGAGAAGGTCGATGATGGCATTAAAATCATCACCAAAATCGCTACGAAATCAAAGAACCTGAAGGGCACTTTTGTAAAAGCCCTTAAGGAAGCGGCTGAGATGATCCGGGAGACGGTGAACGCTCTACAGAGCATATCATCGACTGATGAAACCCGCCGCCTCCAGGCCGACAACAAACGGCTGCGGGACGAGGTGGCGACGCTCCAAAAGGATGTTGCTAGCATGCGTCTCAGTATAGAGAAGCCGGCTCGCCCAGCCCAGGAACGGACGCCGGCACCGACACTGCAGGCTGAGCATATCGCGCGTGATGTACTATCCCAAGTAGGGACGATGATCAGCGCGCGATTCGAGGCTCTCGAGGAGCGCTTGCTCCCGGAGAAGCGCCTGAGGCCGCCTTTGGCTGCGGATAGGCGTAGCGCCGAACCTGGGCCTTCATCGGCACCAGATCCCACCCGTACCTCTCTGGGAGAGACGTGGAGTGCAGTGGTGCGGAACGGAAAGGGGAAGGGAAAGAAGACAGCGCCCGCGCTTGACGTGCAGATGTCGGCTTCCATCTCCGCCAAGTCAAAGAAGTCTGTGGCTAAGCCCGTCACGACGCCTAAGCCACCTGCGGCCGCCGTGAAATCTATTACGGTGCCGAGGCCCCCATTGGTCGCAACGGGATCCGCTGCGGTGCCCAAGTCCGGTACGGCATCAAGACCCGCTGTGGCCACTGCGACGCCAGCCGCCGCTAATAAAAAGAAGCGGAGGCGTAGAGGCCGCAAACTACGTGCCCCTACGACGGCAGCTGTAGTAATCACACTACAGCACGATGCCGTCGAAAAGGGGGTTACGTATAGTGATGTTCTCACCAAAGCCCGTCAGAGGTTAGATCTGACGGCCTTGAACATCCCGGCAGGTCTGAAAATAAGGCAGGCGGCCACGGGAGCTCGAGTTCTCGAGCTTCCAGCAGGGGTCACGAGCGAAGCAGCAGACAGTTTCGCCGTGAAGCTCCTCCTCCAGAGGGATGCAGTTGGTCCCCGTCTTCCCTACGATGGCCTCAACGATTCCGCGATGGGCCCTCGCGGGGTTGGACGTTGACCTGCTGAAGGAGGCCGCCATCGTCGAGTCCTGGAGCTCCCCGCCTCCGGGGACGACGGACGAGGAGGCGATGTGTTTCCGCAGCGCGATCACCAGGGTCTGCGATGCCTGCATGGTCCGCGTGCGGCAAAGACCTCAAAAGAGGCAGGTGTACTGGTGGTCACCGGACATTGCGGATCTTCGGCGACGCTGTGTCGCCGCCCGCCGGAAGTTCCAACGACAGCGGCGGCGGCGGCCGCGGAATGAGGAACTGAATGACCATCTGCAGAGGGCGTATCACGACGCCAAAAATCTGGTCTTGGCCTTGGGGCCCCTAGAGGAACGCTTGAGGGAGCTTTTCACCGCTTGTCTTCGGCGTGGAGAGTTCCCGCAGTGTTGGAAGGCGGGCAGGGTTGTTCTCCTTCGTAAGGAGGGACGCCCTGAAGAATCGCCCTCGTCCTTACCGCTTACCGGCCAATCATCCTGTTGGACGAGGCCGGTAAGCTGTTGGAGAGGGTGGTCGCCTCGCGCATCATACGTCATATGATGCGCGAGGGTCCTGACCTGTCCGACGCCCAGTACGGGTTCCGACCATCGCGCTCCACAATAGACGTCATATTGTGTGTCAAGGGGTATGCGGAGGAGCAGGCGGCAAACGGCAACGTGGTGTTGGCGGTGTCTCTTGACATCGCAAACGCATTCAATACCCTGCCGTTCGCTACCATCGAGGAGGGCCTCCGATACCACCGACTCCCCCGGTACCTGCGTGCATTTATTGTGGCGTACCTACGGGGAAGGAGCGTTGTGTGTGTAGGGCGCGATGGCGTCCTCGTACAGAGGGAAACGTGGTGCGGTGTTCCACAGGGATCGGTCCTTGGCCCACTCCTGTGGAACATCGGCTACGACAGGGTACTCCGTGGTGCCCTGCTGCGCGGGCTTCGTGTTGTCTGCTATGCTGACGACACACTCGTTCTTGCCCGCGGCGCGACGCATCAGGAGGCGACCCAGCTGGCGGTGGTCGGTGTGGGACTAGTGGTGTCCCGCATCAGAGCTCAAGGCCTACGGGTGGCCCTTGAGAAAACCAAGGCCCTATTTTTCCATGGACCTAGAAGGAGGCTGGCTGCAGGCACACCACTCCGGATCGGAGAAGTGGAGGTCCGGGTCGAGTCCGAGATGAAGTATCTCGGACTCGTCCTAGACGGACGGTGGACGTTCGCCGCTCAATTTCGCCGGCTGACACCGAATCTGTTAAAGGCATCCGCTGCTCTTGGACGCCTCTTGCCTAATGTAGGGGACCAGGGTCGGTCTGCCGCCGCCTGTACATGGGGGTCATCAGATCGATGGCCCTCTACGGAGCTCCTGTGTGGGTGGATGCCTTGAGTGCCCCGAATAGAGCGTTGCTGCGACGACCGCAGCGCGCCATGGCACTCAGGGCTATACGCGGCTACCGCACAGTGGCCGGCGAGGCGGCGTGTGCTTTGGCGGGATCCCCACCATGGGACCTAGAGGCTAAAGTCCTCGCGGAGGTATATCGCCGAGTCGCTGAGGCGAAGGGGTGCGGCGATAACGTTTCCACCGAACGAATCGCAAGGTGGCGACGCCAGGCGCGCGTCATTTTGATGCGCACCTGGCAGGAACGTTTGGTGGCTCCTACTGCCGGACATAGAGTGGCACAGGCCATTAGGCCTGTCCTGGAGAAGTGGATCGGTTCCCGAAATGGCAGTTTGTCATTCCGGATGGTGCAGGTGATGACTGGGCATGGATGCTTCGGTCATTACCTGCACGCTATCGGGAGGGAACCGAGCCAAAGGTGCCACCATTGTGCCTGCGCCGACGATACGGCGCAGCACACGATGACGGAATGCCCGGCGTGGGAGGAGCCGCGAGGGCGGCTCCGTGACGTCGTCGGGTCGGATCTCTCGCTGCCGGCCATCTTTAGAACAATGGTCGACAGCAGGGCGGCGTGAAGGGCGACGGCCTCCTTCTGCGAGACAGTCGTCTTACAGAAGGAGGCCGCCGAAAGGGAGAGGGAGGAGAATGCTTCTTCCGACCCGATCCGGCGACGTCGCATGGAGAGAAGGCGGACGGCACACGAGCGCCGTCTCCCGCCCTAATGGGCCTCCGGGTGACAGACGTGGGGACGTCTGTCACCTAACGGTATGAGGCCCCGCGAAGGCTAAGTGCCCACTGGTGTCATGGGCACTCATGCGGAGGACGGGGACAAAAGTCCCTTCGTGGTGTGCCCCAGCCCTGTGCAGGGTCGGGGTAGCCGTGGCTGGGTTGCAGCAGAATCGCTTAAGCGGGCCCTGCAATCCAGCATTTGACGGCAGAGGAGGACACCCGATGGGTTTTAGTTGGTAGGTCTGCCCTTCTCAGAGCTGGAGTCCAACATAACTCTCCTTGCTTCCCCTCAGGAGAGTATGCATGATGCATTTCCCATAGTAAAAAAAAAAAAAAAGGTTAGGTTAGGTTAGGTTAGGTTAGGTTAGGTTAGGTTAGGTTAGGTTAGGTTAGGTTAGGTTAGGTTAGGTTAGGTTAGGTTAGGTTTTTTTTCAGTTGTGCTCTTTTCGTACCAGCACTTTTGGCACGATGTTCTTTTTTATTTTATACATTTTTTACTTATAATTTAAATACATTTTACTTTTTATATCTTCTGGTTCTCATTTCATATTTTTATTTGGTTGTTTTTTCGCTTATTACAGCTACAATATGTTATCCTATGTATTACTATTATTACAGTCTTGCTTTCTCACCGTTTTGATACATTTATATTATTTTGGTGTCTGTTTATATCTTATTTCAACTTACATCTATTACATTATCAACTATTTTATTTTCTTTACTCTTATTACTTACTAATTCTTATTACTTTTGTTTTGTAGCTTATAGTTTAATATACATTTCCTTAATATATTTCTAGTTCTTATTTTTTATTTTCTTTTTGTGGATTGTTACATTAACCTTACTTATTACAAATCTATAACTTATCCTATGTATTAGTATTTAACACCTCACAATCATCTCGATACCTCACAGTTTTAGTACATATATGCTATTTTGTTACCTATTTCAATCTTATTTCTCTTACATCTATTACATAACCGTCGATTTTTGTTTATTCTTATTACCTAGTATACCTTATAATATTTATTTTACTATTTGCATGCAACAACTCTATTTGTTGGGGATTTTGGACATATACATGGTATATATTACAAAATGTTCCCCATTTTATGTTCCTTATTTATTTTTATTTACTGTTCTTTTCACAATTTTCTTACTATACATCATAAATTTATCTCTAGTATTTTTATTTGCTATTAAATTCGGTATATTAAGTCTATTTACTTTTATTTTGCATTCCGTTTCGATTTCAAATCTCTCTCTAGAATAAACTGGGCATTCGGTGAGCAAGTGCATTACTGTCTGTACTGGTCCTGTCTCGCAGTCACATGACGGGCTCTCCTTGCACCGAAAACGATGCAAGTACTCAGAAAATCCGCCATGTCCTGTCAGTAGCTGTGTCGTAAGTGGGTCTATATTTAATTTTCTCATTGTTGCGTATGCTTGTGTGGCGTCTGGGAAAAATAATTTGGTAGTAGTTGCGGTCGTCTCTTCTTGGTATCTCCGGTTCCATTCGTCAAGCGAATCTTGACGGATTTGACGCTTGACAAATGAAACCGGGCACCTATTATAATGTGGCCGTATTTTGGTTTTTAGCGCAGCTTCCTTTGCTAAATGGTCTGCTCGTTCGTTTCCCTCCAGACCAACATGTGCCTTTATCCAGTAGAGAACAAGGGATCCGCCCTGTCTTTTTAGTTTGATAATATTTTCCCTTGCCTCTACGGCCATGGGGTGGAGGGAGTCACTGCGGCTCACTGTTTCCAGTGCAGACCTTGAGTCGCTGTATATGCTGCAGCTTCGTTCTGGTTTTTGTAATGCTACCCTAGTAGCCTCAAGTAAGGCCAACAGTTCCGCCTGGTAGACGGTGCAGAAGTGGTCCAGTTTGAGTTTCTTGGTTCCGATTTCTGCGACATTATCCCATATAGATAGCGCCGCACCAACCTTCCCTTCAATCTTGCTTCCGTCTGTGTATATTCTGATGTCCGTACTAACTTGTTCCACTTGTGCACCGTCTCCATAGCATATGAACTGTGGCCCTATTTGCTCCACAGGGTGTGGTGTTTTGCTGAACGGGACCCGCCCCTCCAGTTCTCTGTCTCCCACTACTCTCTGCGAGAGGCCTCTCTTTATTTCGTAAAGAGAGGCTGCTTCTCGGATCCTTATGTCCAGAGGAAGCAGCCCCGCTAGCAGGAGAACTGAGTTCAAAGAGGCGGTCCTATAAGCTTTGACTATTTTTTGAACAAAACCACGTTGCACCAGTCTTAATTTTTTCTTTACTTGGGCCTTGTTTGCCGCTGGTGCCCAAGCGCTTGCCGCGTAAAGGATAACCGGCTCTACCACCGCCACATAGATTGTCTTGATGACATCGCTGTTTAGTCCCCAATGGATTTTTGCAGCCCTCGCGAGTTGCTTGTACAAATTCTGGGCCTTACGACAAACGTTACTGACGTGGGTGTTAAAGGTCAGTTTATCATCGATCGTGAGTCCCAGGATCTTTATTTCCCTTGACATCTGTATGTTCTCCCCACCCATCTGCAGAATTGGTGTGTCATATTTCTGTTTATTTGTTATGATCATTGCTTTAGTTTTATGTGCCGCAAATTTCAATTTATTTCTAACCCCCCAACTCTGCACCCGCGCGAGGGAGGCATTTGCTTTTCTCTGTATATCGAGGGCCGTGTCTCCCGCGAAGATCAGCACAACATCGTCAGCGAACGCCTGACAGCGTTCGCCTGCGCCTTCAAGCTCCTTCAAAAGCGGGTCCAACAGGATGTTCCACAATGTGGGTCCTCCTATGGATCCCTGTACGCACCCCTTGTTCGTATTTCTGGTCCATTCCGCTCCAGCGTAGCGAACGCGTACTGATCTATCTCTGAGGTAGCTGTCTATCAGCCGCCTCAGATTTACCGGACAATTGGACTCTGCCAGTCTGCACCGTATCGCCGGCCACCAAGCGTTATCGAAGGCGCCCTCTATGTCCAATGATACAATCACCATTAACTTTTTCTTTGATAGTTCGGCTTTTATTTGCACCATCATGTCATAGAGGGCGTCCTCGGTGCTCCGTTGTGGTAGGAAGCCATATTGGTTTCTGCTGATGGCCGGTATCGTGTGCCACCTTACTCTTCTAAAGAGCATCGTTTTCTAG